TGGGTAGGGTAGTTCTCTAAATTAGGGCGCGTTTTTTAAATTTGTTGGTCCCCAAAATAATGAGGCACCCTTCTACGACCCTAAAAGGGGCCCCAAAAGTTGAGAACTGCCCAAAAAGAACCCTCATAGTGCCCTTATAGATCGCTTGAAGGACCCTTAAAAAGGGACCCACATTTTGAGAACTACACCCTAAACCCTAAACCCTAAACCCCTAAACCCCTAAACCCCTAAACCCTAAACCCTAACAAAGGGACCCACATTTTGAGAACGACCCTAATATCAGTCCTTCGGATCAGACCTTGGAGCAGGATCCCGATAGATGGGGGAGACCGAGATGCCCAAGGCCTCGTTGGGTTTAGGGTTTACGGTTTGAGGTTTGGGGTTTTGGGTTTTGAGGTTTGGGGTTTTGGGTTTTGGGTTTTGGGGTTTTGGGGTTTTGGGAGTTTAGGGTTTTGGGCTTCGGGTTTAGTGTTTAGGGTTTGGGGTTTTAGGGCTTGGGATTTCGCCTTCGAGTTGTAGGTTTTTCCTATACAGGGCCTTATAGGATCTCTAAATAGGGGCTCCGTAGCCTGAACCCTGAACCCTAAACCCTAAACCCTAAACCCCTAAGGTTGCGTGCGGGGCTGTAGAGCTTCGGCGGTTTGCTCAGGGCTTTAGTTAGGGATAACGGGTTGAGGGCCTTAGGATGTAGTGCTGTGGACTTTCATGGTTCTAGTTTTGGGAAAAATTTCATCTACAGTAACCTATCTACAGTGGGTGTAAGTCTCCAGGGCTTTCACTTTGGCCTTAACCTTAGGGTGTACGTCTAAAAGGCTTTCGCCTTAGCCTTAACCTTAGGTTGTAGGTCTAGATGGCTCCTGACCTAGGGCTTAAACTTACGGGTCCAGCTGTTTTAATTTTGCAGTCTGCCATGGCACTTATCCCTCCTACGCCGCTGCCTGTGGGGCTCGCTCGTGTTGCTGGCCGAGTCGTTCGTGTGGGCTCTCGGGTTCCTGGAAGTGACACCAAGCACTTCACCGAATTGCCAGGTGTCTATGTGGACCTCTCGCCTGGAACTGGACCCGACCGGCACATTCCGACTGAGGCTGGCGGCCGTGCCGTGACGCTGGGCGACCGAGAGCTCTATGGCATCATGGGCTGGCCATGCGTCTTGGAACGTCTGCAGCTGGATCAAGATTTCCCCGTGGAATTGAACAATCTTGGACGAACGGGCACCCTTTTTCCAGGGCTGCCGGGGAACGTACTCGACTTCATCATTGTTTATTGATCTGTGTTGGTCCCTTGTTTCCCTCAGCCCTAAGCCCTAAACCTTCACTGGTGGTGTTTTCAGTGTGTCATGAGGATACTGACGCTCGGATCTTTAGCAGCAGGCGTTCATCTCGCTTTAATGGTTTAGGGTCTTGGAGTCTAGGGCTTAGGGCTTAGAGTGTAGGGGTCGAGGCGAATCACTTGTTGAAGTTGATCCGGGTGGTGGGGGGGGGGTTCAGGCCGTCGGGTTGCATCGTTGGTGTGGCTCGTATTCTACTTGGTCTTCAACGGAGTTCCGGGGCCTAAACTAAACCCTAAACCCCTAAACCCTAAACCCCCATGGTTCAGCCTCGGACCTGCAACATGTGCATGCACTTGTCTACTCAAGGAAACCCTGTTGTTGTTCTGGAGGCTGCTGTGGAAGCCTCCTAAGCGTCAAAACTTATAGATTAGGGTTTAGGGTTTAGGGTTGCATACTTGCGAAACGTAATGTACTTACATCAGATCGTAGATCTGGAAACGCAAGATAAACCCCGAACCCTAGACCTAATCCCAAACCCGAATCACAGCATGCGCCTTCATCTCATCTAGGGCCTAAACAAATACTCAGTGAAGGTATCCCTTCTTTACTCTTCATATAATTAAACTGTATAGATCGCCAACTATTGGGACCCTGCAATATGAGTCTCTGAGCGAGGCCTCCGGCCCAGTGTTTAAATAGACCCATCAACAATAGCTGCTTTCACCGCTCCCTACCCAGAACAGAAGACAAGGCAACTTAGCAGAAGATGCTGAGGTCTATCTATCGAATCGGAACTCCAAGACCGTGCTGTTCTGCAAGAACAGTGACAGAGCACCTAGCAACCGAGCCGTCCGAGATGCGAACGTACCCAAGAGCTTTTTGAAATTTTGACGAAACCCCAATATAGGGGCCTTTGTAATTAGAATAGGGTATGGGGGTATACTCTACTATAATTTATGCCGGGCGCGGGATTTAAGACGTACCTTGGTTTTAATTAGAAAACGCAGAGGTTTCTGGTGTTTGAGGGCGATTTTTTGGAATCGGGTGTGTTTACCATATGATCTGTTGCTTAGGCTGAAGCCTAATTTATTAAGGAGCCCCCGAAACCCTACTCTGATTATTAAGGCCCCTATACATTAACCTTCAAAATCATTCAAACCGGCTGTCAAAGCCTCTCGGGACCTTCGGGCTTCGTAGAAAAGGTGTTTAGGGTTTAGGGTTTAGAAAAAAATCCCTAAGGGTCCATGTACCCAAACAGTATAGACATTGGCCCTAAAGTACCCCTGTAGGGACCACCTTAAGGCCAATGTTCTACTATTTGGGTACATGGACCCTTAGGGAATGTTTGAGGATGCCCCCGAGACGTCCACGCAGAATCCCGGCGATTCCAATGCCGCGCAGGCAAGGGCCAGGGGTTGCGGGCTTAGAGCTTTACGCCTTTAGGGTTCAGGGATGAGGGCTTAGGTTTAGGGTTTAGGGTTTAGGGTTTAGGGGTTTTGGGTTTTAAGGTTTAGGGTTTTGGAGCTTTACGCTTTTAGGGTTCAGGGATGAGGGCTTAGGTTTAGGGTTCAGGGTTAGGGGGGGTAGGGCTTAGGGCGTGGATGAGGGCTTCGGTGTAGGGTTTAGGGTTTCGGGGGTAGGGCTTCCGGCTTAGGGCTTAGGGGGGTTTGGGGACTAATAGGGCTCAAGGTTTAGGGGCGTACTTAAGGGTAGCAGTTCAAACATCGAGGCGGAGGTTTCACATTTGTAAATTGTTAAACTCCATGAATGGTTTGGGGTTTAAAGGGTTTTAGGGTTTAGGCTAAATGTACGGTTTTGGGTTTAGTTTTGGTTTTTAATGCTGTCGAACGGCCAGGGAGGAAGTGCCGCAAGGACTTTTAGGGGGGAAAGGGGGAGGGGGTAGGGGGGCTAACGGGGGGTGGCACAGTGGGGGACTATGCTTCATTAAGTCGTCTATCAGCTCCTGATTACAGTTTTCAAGTCATGTTCCGGGTCTGCACCCGTGGTTGGATCCCGCTACCTGGACCTAAACCCTACAATGCAGTACATTTGCTTATTACATTCTTTGTTAGGAAAGGATCCTATTCATAGCTAAGTGAGCCCAAAGCAGGTAGAGGCAGCACTGATTGAGATTTACGGTTTCTCGGCCCCAAACACCACATCTGGTAGGCCGCCTGTGAAGGGCGCGGATATAGGGCTCCGTAGACTGAAACAGTCAAGTGTGGCTGATGGCTATGAGTCCCGAGTATCTGAAGCTCCTGCAGGAGGAAAACAACAGTCTAACGTATGCAATTCGTGACAGGTCGATTTTTTGGGGGTAGATCAGATCATCAATCTTTGCTGGGCTTTCGGAGAGATGGGCTGCAGACACGAAGGTTTTCGCAAACCAGCCCAAAGGCTAGTCCGTCATCTGAGATTTCCATTTTTGGCCTTGTGCCAAGCCAAACAATCCTAGGACCGCCAGAATTCCCTGGTTGCCCATTTTATATTGGCGTCTCCCTCTGGAAGCCGAATTATAGGACAAAGTGTAGTAGCGTATCCTTGTCCTGAGGAGATTAGTTCTAAACTCAGACTGTACTAGTTGTACACATGCATCCTCGCAGACATTCTGCCGGCTAACATCACTAGACCCCGAAGCTCACAGCCCAAGCTGCCCGAATAACCAGTAGCAGTCATCCATGATATTATATATATATATATAACTGTTCCACGATATGCCCCGAAACCGATTCTAAGCAGACCTCTATATCAACCGGCGTAAAATTTCACTAGAATCTTCATGCAACCCTTGGCCCATTGTAACAAGCCTCCCAAAGCCCTAGTCTCACCCCGGTTGTCCCGCTTTACGAACCCCAAGGCCTCGGGGCCATAAGCCGTGGTGCTCCACATACGAAAACCCTAAACCCTTTAACCCTTTCTATAGATTTTAAGGTTTAGGGTTCATAGGGGTTCGGGTTTAGGGTTTACTTACTTTCTATAATTTGTAAGGTTTAGGGTTTATAGGGGTGAGGGTCTAGGGTTTAGGGAGGATTGCACTTCCGTGCAGTGCGGGGTGTAAGGTTCGAGGGTTCGGGCTGGAGGTCGAGGATGCCGATATGGAGTCTCAGTAGGTTTTCAGTAGGTGGGTGCGCCTTATTTTCCCTGGCATTCTCCTGTGTTTCTTGCACATACAGGCATCCCTGCACAAAGTCCGTCCGTTCCCACAGAGCATCCATGTCCCAACCATGTCAACATGCATGCACAAACTCCGTCCGTTCCCAGAGAGCATCCATGTCCCACCAATGTTAATGTCCACACAAAGTCCGTCCGTTCCCACAGAGCATCCATGTCCCAACCAGAATGTCTGGGAGCGCTTTCTTCTTTGGGGTAGTGTCCAGTAGGTCTTGCGAACACCGTACACTCCTTTCGGCAATCTTCTTGGCTCCCTGTAGTTGCTGGGTCATGGAGGCATCAGCATCGCAGGTGCAAGAATGGCTCGCCGCAGGCTGCCAGGTGCAAGCTCTGGCGGGCTCGTCAGCTGCAAAGTTTCCAGGCGTGGGAGCAGTCGACAGACTTGGATGCGACGACAGTCATCCACATCGGCGACGACACCTCGCCGGCATAAGTGGGGAAGCCGCCCGAAGTGCGGTTCTGCTACGACTCCACACATATTCCAATCCGGAAAGAGAATCTGCTGTAATATTGTGTCCGCTCAAAAAACAACCCCAAACCCTTGACATTTAAACCTGAAAACCCCATAATCTGCTTCCTATCAGGCGGGCCGGCTCGGCAGTGCTCCAGCGCAATGCTTGGTGGCGGTACGATGAAGCTGGCCGGAGACGTTGTTGGGTGCCAGCACTTCCCCTTCCAGCGTTACTCTGAAGCACCCCACTGGTTCAGAACTGTTTACGAAGACGTGCGCGCGGGCCTGCAAAGGAATGCGCAGCGGCTCTAAGGTGTTTTTCTTTCCGGTTTCAGTTTGACTTCGGGTACTTCTGCTCCTGGCCTAGCTTTTCGGGCTCCTACTTCGAATGGCGGCAGAGTCAAGTCTCTGCATGCTGTGTTGAAGGACGTTCCTTTCAGATGTTGGGGTGCAAGGACAGCCCAGCATCCAAGTTTCAACACGAACCAGAAGAGGCGAAACCATGTCCGGTAGTCCGCTAGTCCTTGCAGACCTCACGTTGTTGCAGCTGTGCACTTTGAACGTTCTGTCACCCTCTCTGCGGCTCCACTGTTTAGGGAAGACGCACATGTTGCAGCTTATGTCGGCTCTACAGTTTTTGTACCGAGCCGCAGCAAAATGGCTCATCTGCTTGATGTGCAGCATGCGGTGGCAGGGTTGCAAGCCTGAATGTCCCGCAAGCCCTCAAAACATCCTCCTCTCCGAAACGGAGTTGCTGCAGGTGGGTGCCTGGAAGCATTTGGATCCAGAAGCCCTGCAACGCTGGCGAAGCTACTATGTGCAGCTGCTTCACCGTGTAGCTCTGGGGATCTACACGTTGAAGCATCGTGTCAGCCCCGGAGACCATGTCCAGGAGCGCGGGCATGCAGACGTGTGTCCCCTAAGCCGCCCCCCAAAACCCTGCACCATAAGCCTTAAACTCTTTTCTCTTCCTAGGACCTTGACGTGCTGGAGACCGTCGCAGATATCATGACTTCCATCTTGGAAAGCAGATGGTGGTTGGCTCAGCATGTGAAAACGAACCTGCCGCCTCCATTGCTGCAGCCTGCTCCAATTTCCTTTCGACAGCAAGTCGCTCTGGAGTTTGGCCCTGCTACGTGGAGACGACCTGCGGAGGCTATGGCATTTGAGATGAGCATAGTCTTAGATCACATGCAGCGGAATCCTTCGGTATACGGTTCCACTGCGCGTTACCTTCCAAAGGTTCGCAGTTTGGGTGGATGACTCATCTCTATTCCTCCAAGGTCTGTTGCAAGAGCCTGCAAGCAGTATTCATTTCTAGCCTTTCCGAGCCACTGCTAAAGCGGGAAGCTTCTGCATGCTGACTGTCGCCTTCGTCATGCTTTATAGGGGTGAGGGTTTAATGGTTAGGGTTCAAAACATAACGCTGGTGATGATGATGATGATGACTTCTTTGATGACGCTGGTGATTATGATGATCATGCTCATGGTGCTTGAGTATGTTGATGATCAGCAACGAGATGCTGACTTTCTGCAGCTGCTGCGCGTGAGCATACATTCCTGATGTTGCATTTTCTCTTTGCATTTTTGGCTCTGGCTCGCAATGCCGGGTAAGAGAAAAGACCCCGCGCGGAAGGGGCGGGTGACAACATGTTCCTTGTGCAGTGCAGTAGGCCATCGGCTTGCTCGCTTCCGGGTGCCCGCGAGTTTCGTCGTCTTCGCAAAGAGAGCCGTACGAAGCCTCGCTTTGCTGAGAAAAACAAGAAGAACACAATGCGCCCAACAAGCATGGGTCCCATGCCGAGATGGCACGCAAGGCTTACACCCGAAAGCCTGCAGAGAGAAGGCGCAGGAATCCACGCCGATTGTTTGCACGAGGCCTGACACTTTCAGGCATCGAGACGGACGCCGAGGCCTTGGAATGGTTGCTCCGGAAAAAGTTCCTCAAAAGGCCTGCCGCGTGTCCGGGCGAACGATCACAAGTATTCTTAGTATCCTGTCAGGCAAGGTCGTTGTGAATCAGTTTCTTGGGCGCTTGAAGTTGCACAGATTTGGACTTCTAGAAGGATTAGATTTGTAAGGCCCCAACACTAGCTTATGCTCAAAAGTCCCACGCCTGCCACGTAAGACAAACCTTAAAGCAGCCCAAACTACCAGTGAAAAAAAGCGCGTGAACCTTCTAGTAGGGTATGCAGGTTTAGTACAGGGTTTGGATCAGGGCTTAGTAGGGTATGTAGGTTTAGTATATAGGGTTTGGAGCAGGGCTTAGTACCGGCATTTTTGAAGGGGTCATATTACGGCTCCGAACCCTGAGAGTCTCGACCTGGTCGTGATGAGAAGGCTAAAGCTTACGGTCAGCGCGATACGGTTTGGGTCTTAGGGTCTATATAGGGTTTAGAGGGTTTAGGGTCTATATAGTTAATGGACTTTAGGGGGTTTAGGGCCTATATACAGGGTTTAGGGTTTAGGGCTGTGATTGATTCAGCTCTGAGCGAGCTGTTGGCATCGGAGCAGCTGTACAACAGGCACTCGGCAGTCTAAGACCCAAGAAACCACTGGATCGAGACGCGGCGCACGCAACTGCGCGTCTGTTGAAGACGCCTTTCCAGAAGCACCCGGAACTCAACTGGCTGATGGAGGAGTTCGTCTCGGACAGGGATAGCTTCTGTCAGAAGGTGCACCACTACGCGGTGGAAGGAAAGTCTGACGCAAGGGTCAGAAGACCTGGACCTGTTCATTGACAGTGCCTTTACTTATGGGGATGGCGATACAGGCTGCATGTGGGCGGCCTCCATTGTGGCGGCAAAGCATCGCTTTGCTTCATACCTGCAGCCACTCGCCGGGCATTCCTATCTGGATTCCTGCGGAGGCACTTTAAACTCTAGGTTGTAGCATTGAAGGTCCCCTAGCAGCACCCTCCTAGCTGCTTCATTTAGGCTTTCCTTGCTACTGTTACATAGTAGGAAAAGTCCTTTCAGCTACACTGACCAATTATTGAGTTGACGTGTTGGCCCTTGCTCGCAGGCAGAGGACATGCAAAGATTTGCCAGCAAGGCCGAACATTGCACGCCAGTTTATGGTCACACCTGTTAGGGTTTTTCGAGCTGTATGTCCATGAGCCGGCTCTGTGGATATCGGACACGGCGATTGTTCCTGCTTAGAGTTCAGAGTTCCGGGTTATAGGCCTTAGGGAGCTTACCTCCATGAGGTAGTACATACTAACTATAAGGGCACAGAGCTCGCAAGCATTATTGACTGCGACCTGTATTGCTGGGGAGTGTAGGAGCCAAGATCTTCATTACTACCATCCTTCAGGCTTCCTAGATATATGCATGCAGATATGTATATCTATATATATATATGTATATGTATATGAAGACATATGTACATATATAATATACATACATATATATATATATACAGATGTGTACGCATATGTATATTGATATACTGCAAATTTGTACATATGTGCATGTACAATATGTATACATGAGTATCCACGGTATAAGATGCCCCTCAAAAACACGTATTCCAATGGTTGATGCTCCCTATCTTGACCGGGTAACCGCCAAACTGCGAGCAGAGCTCCACAGCTCTATCACCCAGGTCCTCGTCCTAGACCCTGTGAAGGTTTAGAGTCCAGGATCAAGGGGTTAGGGGCAAGAGTGTTTTTTGTTTTTGCAGCTGCTGCTTTTTTGCTGTTGCTGCGGGTGAGTGTGTCTCTGCGTGTGTGTGTGTGCGCGTGTGTGTGTGTGTCTGTGTGTGTGTGTGTGCGTGTGGGTGTGTGTGTGTGTGTGTGTGTGTTTGTTTTTGAGCCCTAAACGGTTTAGGGTTTAGGGTGGCAATCATGACCTAATCCGTATATAGCCTAAACCTCAACGAAAACCAATGCCGAGACCCTAAACCGAGCCCCGTGCAGGCATCCATCGCCAGTTCCGTGGGATCTCTGAACTCCATGGACGAGAGCGAAGCTGTGGCTGGGATGCAAAGCAGGTTCAGGGTTTAGGGGTTCAGGGGTTTTGTGTGTTCTTTTTGGGTTTAGGGTTTAGGGCTTCCCCAAGTCGGGTTTAGGGATTTCGGGATCGTTACTTAGAAACCCTATATCCTAAGAGCACAGTTTCGTCGGATGTTTCTGAGGGTGCTATACGGTGTTCGGGGTTTATGGGTTTGTACGAACTAGAGATCCGTTCTGGTGACTCTGTATAAAGATCCCTTTACAGTAAATATTGGTGAGATTTTGTTGTCGTTGTAGTCTGGGGAGACCAGTAATTAGAAATGATCCCCTGCTGTAGATGGTCCAATGTTTCTAAGGTTGAACCCTAACCAAACCCTGAACCCAAACTCCTAAACGCCCAAAAGCCCTGAAGCCCTAAAAAACCCTGAAGCCCCAAAAGCAAGAAGGTCACTGGGCTCCTATGGGCTGATACTTCTATGGTGAGCCCCCAGAAAGTTGGAATATGGGTTGACTAGTGCAAGGGTTCACTATACTTTACCTTAAGGGCATGAGGACAATGATGTTCCAACTTTCTGGCTTCTACTGTTGGAGGGTGTTTGTTATCAGGATCGAGTGTGTCAGGCTCAGGTTCATGAGCTTCAAGGTCACGAGGATTTATGTTTTAAGATTAGGGGCTTTAGGGTTTAGGGTTTAGGGGTTTCAGGGCATCGGGTGAAGGATTAAAGCCAGCATCCTGATCTGCGTATGCTCTGCTTTACATCAATGTACACCTACAGACAGGTTATTGATATGCAAGGTTCATGTATTTGTTATTGTCGGTCATCTTGCTGCTGTTCCTACAGAAGCCCAAAAGTTGGAAACCCAATAGCCTGAATCCTGAAGAGTAATGTATAGCGAATCCCAGCACAAAATCTCTTTATTCCGGAAGACTGGTTGGACTTTGGAGCGGAGGAGGTGCGCGAAGCACTGTACAGATCAAGTCGGCGGAGGATGACCCATGGAAGCCGGCCGGGTGCATCGCCGCTTTGAGCCTGCTTCGGCACTGCTGGGAGGAGCTGCACTTTGTTTTGGCAAGGTCGGCTCACGGGCATGCTTCGGAAGCTGTGCAACTTGCATGGTGGGTGGAATGACAAGGCAGCACTTGTCACAGATCTGAAATGTGAGACGTTATATGCCAGATCAGGGTGTGCGCTTTAAGTTGTAGGCTTTGCGGATACGGCAATCGGCGCATGTGGCTCTGCAAGCTCTAGCAGCATGGGTCGGCTTGTGCTGACAGGACGCATGGCCGAAAAACCCTCCTTTACTCCCCGCATTGGAGGCTCAGAGTGACCTTGTTTCCGTATGTTTCTGTCATATTGCATATATGATGACCCTTGTCCAAACACCGTCATGATCAGGATCTGAATCTAGTTGCTGGGCCATGGTTCTTTGTCAGGTCAAGACATTTTCAGTTCCCTTCGGTCGCCGCTTCAGGGTGGGTCTGGGGCTGCAGGCATCCATCCGGAACCGTTGTGATGTGGGGTCGTGGGTGTGTGGCTGAGGGTTCAGGATTCCACGGTGAATATTTACGGCCTGAATTTGACAGTCTGCGCGGTGTCGGCTTCCAAAGGGGGGGGGGGGGGCTCCGGGGCTCCGGCTCGGGATTAGGCGCGGGGGATTGAAGGCCTTACCTTCGTGTCGCTCGTGTCACGAGCTCCACAGTAACCTTGCGCAATTCGGTATGAAGCTTGCGTGCAAAGTGTCGGGGAAGCCTGCACAAGACACCCAGGAGACGGAGAACGAGGAAGATGTGAAATGGAGAGAGCAGATGAGGCGTGATACAAGCACAGAGCTCTGGACATCGAAGTAATTACGGATGCTAGTGCCAGAACACATCGGGATCGTGGTGCGTTTTTGTGAGTCGAGAATTTCGATGGTTCGGTGTTGGGTGTTTGTGCTGCCACTGTCATGAAGGTGCATCATGCAGTTGTCGAGGCCTTGGTGACTCCATTGTATATGTGTTTGTAGTCCTGTTGCTGCAGTGCCATTGCTAGAACTACAGCACGAGTGCTTGCACCTAAGTGTTACCACTACGACGTACTATTGCAACATCTTCTGCGACTCCCATTACTGCGACGACGACGACGACTCCTGCTACGACAGGTATGTGGGGGGGATCCGTTTTTTGGTTGCGATCTTGGAACTCAGGCCCCTTTTTCGCAGCTCCTTGCTTCTAAGGTTTGTGAATTTGACAACTCTGCACGACTCCTAAGTTGACATACATGGGGGTTTCCGCAAATTTGGGTACCTTATTTTGGGGTCCTTAGAATAAGGATCCTATTATTTAGGGTACCATATTAGGGTCCCCTATTTCGGAAACTCCCACATAATATTGCCTTCAGTCGCGCTCGTGTCAGAGATCATATGATAGTTGCCTCAAAGCCTCAAATCATTGCCAATACCATTCCTCAGCTTCGCATTTTAGATGTAGTTGAATGCGTCGCAAACCCAATTCTCACTACATAGAGCCATGCCTAACAATGTTAACGAGTGCACGGCCTGTATTGCCTAAGTCGGCAAGCATCCAGCCAGGCCCCATTTCCCCACCGAAGGCCAATACCGCTTAGTTACGAGGTTTAACCATACCCGCAATCAATTTGCCCGTAACTGTCATTGGTTTGGTTTACATCAGGGACCACCCTAAACCCTAAACCCTAAACCCTAAACTAATAAGGGCCAGTCCTCATGTGCCGGATGTTGGACTCTTTGGGCTCTTCTTGTGAAGAGGGGCATTGTCCCTTCTTTTGGGGGGTGAAGTGTCAGGGACCAGGCGAGTCAAAAAAGGGCCCTATGGTATAGATCCATTACAAGAACCCTTAGAAGGGAGCCCTCTAGTAGATCCCTTACAGGAGCTTTTAAAGAGAACCCTATAGATCCCCTAACGGAGCCCTTTAGGGAGGATAAGCGAAGAGTAGGATCAAGATCTTCATATGGGCAGTTGTCTAAATTAGGGTCCCTTTTCGGGTCCTTTTTATAAGGGTGCCGTACTATATTGGGGGCCCAAAAAGGGACCCTAATTTAGAAAACTACCCGTATGTTGATGCATGCCCGTGAAGAGTGGGGGGGGGAGGTCACGGCTCACTCTCACACACCCGGAGCCTGAAAAGCCCCTTCTGCAGGGGCCTAAATAAACATAAAAAGAAACTCCCAACATAGTATAGGTACTTGTAAACTCTAAACCTGATTAATCCTTACCCCCTGAACCAGACATGCTGTAACCTTAAACTGGAAAAACACTGTATAAACAAAGCCCTGCTTAATCCAGAGCCTTTAGAGGCCCCAAGTCGTAACCCTTACAACCAGTTTCAGCCCTCAAAGAGCCCATGAAGTCTCACCCTGATCACCGGAAGGCATGAGCAAAACTTTCAATTTTCGCGCATCGCTGCTGCCCCAGTACTTGAGAGTTTCTGTTGCTTGGGCTTGAGGGTTTTACATGCCTTTGAGGCCTCAGAATTCGGGTTTAGGGTTTAGGCGCTTAGGCGTTTAGGGCTTTAGGCGTTTAGGGTATAGTAGGGTTTTGGCGTTTAGGGTTTGGGGGTTCGGCGTCTAGGGTTTAGGCGTTTAGGGCTTCAAAGCTGAACGACAAGGTCGGAAAGCTTCGGAAGTGTTTTCAGGGCTCACAGGCTTCTGAGTCCTGCTATTCGAGTTCAGCCGACGGCTTCGATCAATTTACAGACTACCCCACCAAAGGGTCCAGGTAACAGTACAGTATATACGTTTTGGGCCCAGATACCTGAAAAGAGCTTACTGTAATGGTACTGTTATCCTAAACCAGCTACCAGCACCCCGCCACGCAGGGCTTTGGACCGCAAGAGAGTCTTATGAAGAACTGTGGCCCGCTTAGTGGCGCTCTCGAAACTAAGGTTTCCCTCTGCTCCCACCAGCTCTTCCTAGATGGCTGTGCTAACAAACAAAAAGCACTACAGCTTTTAAGCCACTGCCTAAAACCCTAAATCCTGAACCCTAAACCCTAAAACCCTGCACCCTAAACCCTAAACCCTGAACCCTAAACCCCAAACCCTAAAACCCTGAAACCCCAAACCCTAAACCCCAAACCCCTAAACCGTCAAGGATCCTCCTATCTTAGGTCTCTGGCACGCGCATGCACTTAAAGCCGGACCAGGCGGTCCCGCGGCTTCAGTAGGGTTCCTTTTATGGTTCTTTTAGGGTTTAGGGTTTAGG